CTTTCCAAAAATAGCCTTTCTAGCCATTTTTCAAATATCAAATGAGAGCTTCAGTGTCCTTAGGTAGAAAATTTTTGTTTATTTTGTAGAGCACATTTTGTACAAAAAGCAATTCAATTGCTTTATATCATAAAATCACAAAAGCCAAAGCCAAGTCATTAAAAACATAAAAGATGAATCAATTATTCAAATCAATAGGGAAGAGGGGAGATAAAAAGTTACAGAACTGTTCAGGCAGGATTAAAAGATAATCCCATAGCCATTACAGTCTTTTTGACAGGTTCCCTGTTGGCTTGAAACTGAAAAGTTGTTGTGCCTCTTTGTTTATTTGACAGTTCCAGGCTTACTTTCACCAGCCCCGATAAGGACGACTTGGGCAGGTATTCTGTGGTGGTCACCGACACAGACGGGGTCTCGGCCAGCCACACTCTGACCGAGGACGGTACGTCCCGATTTGCTGAAATCCCCTCAGATTCTGACTATTCCCGGGACACTCCTGTGAATCACGTGTCTTTCTTGGCTCTGTCCCGCAGCTCTGAACACCATGCTCGAGCTCAGCCATGCCATCAGACACCCAGGTGAGTTGGGAATGATGGGAAAGGGGGGTGGACACGTCCGGTATCCCCCCCCGTTCGGTCCGGCCGGTTTCATCTCTACGTCTTTGTGTCCACGCAGTCGTTCCTCTCAAACACGGTCTGAACTATGAGGTTCTGGAGAAAGGCCACGTCCGCTTCTGGCTGCAAGCTGTCAAACTGTCTCCATCCGTGTCCTACAGGTTCATTGTTAATGACAAAGAGGTCACCAGTGGTGAGGTATGATGTCCACACTGAGTCATGGAGTTGTGGAGTCTTGTGTGTGTTTGTCTTCATCCAGAATGACATTAAGGCAGCTCACACTTTGGGAGAACAATTGATTTCTCTTCTGGACCGTGGTATGCTGGACTTCCTGTTCTCTCTCTTTAGGTCTAGTCTTTGACTTTCTGATAAATCAGAAAACATAAACTTATATAGTTAGCAAAGCTCTCAACGCTGACCCAAGATGGCACCAAGCAGTCACCTGTATGGCTGCAGTTATCTCCATTAAAAATG